TGTATGAGGATACACACACACATATACACACACACACACACACACACACACACACACACACACACACATCTGTATGAAACCCCGGCTGTCAGTGTATGAATGGCACACTGAAACAAAGACATGACAAGCAGTATTATCAGTTGTTTTATGTTAAAAACAACATTTATATAAGATTCAATTTTAACTTCCTAAATAACAGTTGCTGTTTCGTATCATAGGCAGTGACATGGACTCATGTTGTTCCTCGGCATCTCTCCTGCTCTACAGTATGGCTACCCTCAGCCTCAGAAAAGTCTTCCTAACATCTCCCTGCAGCGTTGGCCCGATACATTTAGTTCTTCCATGCAACCACACTGAAGGCCTAGGCAGAGAACCTTCTAAGTCAGTCTAAGTCGTCGTCCCCCCCCCCCCTGCTCTCAGCTCCGGCTCTCATTTTACTGAGCTCTGATGCCACCCACTGACTGAAGGAGAAACCCCTCCTGTGCTGTCACATGTTCAAGGTCAGAGCTGTTTCCTATCTCTGCTGCACAATAACACAATAACACTGCTGGAGTCAACAAAAACACTTCTCCTGTCTTATCTTCACAATATCATATATCATCCACAGTGCTGTATGTAGTGCACAGGGTTGGGTTAGTTTAAAAACATATTCTGTTGTTCTATTTTACCTTTTTTTAAATGTTTAATTAGTTATTCAATGGCGGTATCGCAATATGAAAGTAATGTAACCTCATTATTTTCTGTCACTTTTGGATAACATTCATTTCAAATGCAATGAAAATAAGAGAAAATAAATATCAATAACATGTTTTTTACTTAAGTGTATTATGTAAGACAAGATACAATGTGACCTTAGATAATAAGAAATGTAGGATTCAAAAATGTTTCCTTTGCTCAGATAAATTAAAAAACCTGCAGTAGTTTGTAGACCAACAGTATGAGCACATACTAAAGTTGAAAGGGACAACAATTGAATAAATAATAAATATATTCTGGACAAAATAAAGTGCATGTGAATGCAGCTCAATAGTAAGAATCTGCTAGTGTCATACACACAGTTATGTCTATGGTAACTAGGAGCGGATATTTTAAAGAAGCCTTACAACATCAGTATTATGGCGCATTTCCACTGCAGGGCCTCACACGGCTTAGTACGGTATAGTTAGGCCTTGGTAGGCCAGGCTCACTTTATGCTGCGTTTCCATTACAGTTTAGTAGCTGGGGCAGTAACTATAGTAACGCAGTGTAGGCGGAGCCGTGACGTCATCTTCAATGCGAAACACAAAACCAACATCAGCCGTTAGCTGTTAGCCCTCAGAGCTCACAGCTCCTCATATCTGTTCAGAAACTAGACAAAAGTGAAACAAGTACAAACCACAGACTGCCTGTGTCATGGTGAATACAGTCGCTGGTTTATTTATGTCTGTATAGGCCGTTGTTGTGAGTGTGGACGGTCGGAGCATATACAGCGTTAGCTTAGCCAATCTCCATTTAGAAAACACGCATTTTAAAAGGTTTTTCGCAGACTTGTCAAAGCATTAATTCATGGTTTTTACTAACCGGTATCAGTATGTTGTTACTTCGGCATCATTTTGAAACGTGTATTACAATTAAATCACGGTAAAATATGTTCATTTTGTTGTAGTTGTAGCCCCCTTGCCAGCGATTCTCTCACTAGTTTAGCATATTCAGCCCGACTCAGCCTGGTTGTTGGCCCGGAAAGAACCACGATTTTGGAGGGCCAGAAAAACTGTGAAAAACCTGTTAGCCGGAACTACCCCTAGTGGAAACGCAACTAAAAACGTGCCGGGTTTGGCGCGGCACGCTTAAACCGTGCTACGCGCTGCAGTGGAAATGCGCCATTAAAGCTGATGGTGAAGATTTGCTTTCTTTTTGCAAGTGTATTTGGGACAATGCAACACATTTTATCTGTAACATCAACACACCACCCAATGTGTGAGAAATGGAGACTACACCCTTATCTAAACTTCCTTTTTTGTCATCTACAGAGCAGTTAGTTTCATGCATCTTTGCCTAAACCTCCTACTGTATTTGTGAAGAACATGAAGACAGCCTTATTTGGGTCCAAATGTCCAGCATCAGTTCCCAGGTACATGAGAGATCATGACATTAGCATGATGTGCACCTGGCTGCACCCCCCTGTGATTGACAGACAATTTACATCTATATAGCCAGGTCAGTTCCTAGAAATTGTTTATAAAACAAAAAGAAGAAAAGCCAAGATATTTAGTATCGAAAAATGTGTGTTCATTAATCATAGGATATGCCTACAGGAAAGTATTACAAATGCTGTTTTAGTTGAATACAGGAATTTAAATTTAAATGTAACTTAACCTCTTAAGCCCTGAGCATGTTTTTCAGGTCTCAGGCTCGAAAATGACATTCCCAGAACAAATGACCATATCTTCCCTTCTAAAAGGGTTAAATTAATAATCTTTATTCTCAAAGTAATGATAAACCTGTGAGTTGGATGTAGAAAAGTCAGAATCAATATAGATGTTTATTATTTTAAAGAAAATTCAGATTTTACATAGTAAAAAACTGTAAATTATAGTGTCCGTCCAAAAATTCTTTTTTACTTATAGTGAAAACTACCCTTGGATGATGGGTTAGTAGTAGGTGTACTAAAAGCTTTAGGAATCCAAAGTACAACATATAATAAGTACCCTGTATCAAGATTGATGCAAAACAAGTGACATTTGACCTTTTTAGAGAGATTTAGCCAAAAACCCCCACTTCTGGGGTCATTTGGGTGGATTTGACCTATCTCTGGCCCCCCTTGCTCGATTTTAATGAATGAAATCTCTTTATAACCGCTAGAGCCAATGGAATCGAGGGAAAGTTATATACACACCAAAACGTTAACAAATAAGGAGTGAGAGTGACGCGTTACCAAAACCGGAAGCTGCATACACTCTGGTGGCTACCATTAGCAGCTAACTTTTCCGCTCCGATCTTTACATAAAAATGGAATTATGGATTATAAATAATTTCTTCAAAGGCACAGGTACATTATCAACCTATGGATCAACAGTTGTAGCCTTTTTTTTTTTCGTTGTAATGCCATTGAACACGTCTTTTGACCCAATTGACAGCTACGGTGAGACGATCTGCCGTAAAAGCTCCGTAAAGGTACGTGTTGTGATGTCTGTGTTTGCTTCCCCAGTCGCAAGTTCGGATCGCTCAGTGATGATACTATACCCAAATAATCAGTGGAGTCTCAGCTTTAATCGGCTATATTGTATGTGCAGCTACGATAAGTAATAAGGGTATCTTTATCTTGAATTGTGTGCCGCAGTGCGTTAGAATTCTTTTGCTCAGGGGTCATTTAGACCCTTCTTATGAGACTTGTGTTTTGTTTTGGTAAAAATGGTTCATATCTTCAGTTAGCTGAGATTCTTCCAGTTAATCTGGTGCTACACATTAACTAGTTTCATAAATGTTAAGAAGCCCTGAGACATTGTCTCGAAAAAAAACGGTGGGAGGGGTCCAATGGGGGGACCGCCGTGCTTAAGAGGTTAAAGAAGAATGAAAGTAGCCCAAAAAAAACATTCAGGCAGTTTATCTACCCAATATATTGATTTTTTAAATGTACCTGTATGTGATGTTCCGAGCATCAGACATATACTGTAAGGTAGGTAACTGTCACCCGCACCAAGCCCTGGCAACACATCACCCCCACCCTCATCCACCTTCACTGGCTGCCGGTCAAGACCCGGATTCAGTACAAAACACTCCTCCTCAGTCTCTCCATGCCCTCGCCCCCCAGTACTTATCAGACCTCCTCCATCCCTACACCCCTTCTTGGAGTCTGTGGTCCTCAGACACGGGCCTGATCTCCATTCCCCGCACTCGCCTCCGAACTGTTGGTGACAGGGCGTTCAGTGTTGCGGCCCCCACCCTCTGGAATGCACTTCCTGCAGAGATCCGCAATACTGCTTCCCTGGACATCTTCAAGTCATCATTAAAAACTCACCTGTTCACCCTGGCCTTTGACCCCTAACCCATCACAGTCCACCTGCTTCCACTCCTACTGCTATTTATTAATTTTTTATTTTATTATTTGCCCCTTTTGTTTGTTTGTTCACCATGTAAAGCGGCCTTGGGTCCCTTGAAAGGCGCTATACAAATGTCATCTATTATTATTATTATAATGCTTTTTTGAAAATAAATGTTAACTTTCAGGACAAACTTTACTTAATGTTTACTAAAAGGTAAAACATTAAACTATAAATAGGGTCGTTTTCTCATTGACTTCTTTAGAACTGGACATGTTTTGCAGCCAGTGGAGTCGCCCCCTGCTGGATATGAAAGATAATGCAAGTTTAATGCACTTCCTTTTGCTTGCTGGTCAATGGTTAGCCAGCAAGCTCTGTTCAATTTTTTATTTTTTTATTTAGCCCAATATCTTTAATTTCCCTTAAGGGGCTTTAGCTAACCCTGAGAGGAGTGTATAACTTATGGATGTTTGCCACTCTCTGGTATGACCTGGCCATTACTCATTAAAAGAGTATTAACTTAGCATTACACAACTATATACACTCACAATGGACAGTCTAAAGAGGGATTAAAGTTGATGCAGTCTTTTTTATTTTTCCAAACAGATATGTTCTTTTTGTATTCCTCTTTCGTTTTACTTTCTGTGACCTTAAGTTTGACTTCTAACACAAGCAGAGGTGTGTAATGTGATACCACAAAAATGAATCGTTATCCATGCCGGTTCCAAAGGCTGAGGAACAGGTTTTACTGTAACACACACACACACACACACACACACACACACACACACACACACACACACACACACACACACACACACACACACACACACACACACACACACACACACACACACACACACACACACACACACACACACACACACACACACACACACACACACTCACACACACGTCACGTCACACGTCACTGTACTTTGGTTCAGCACTGAATGAGGAAATCCCAGCCTGTGACTGAAGTCCGTCAACCACACATTTCAACAAGAGCACTTCCTGTTCATGCAAGCACTTGCTGCTTCATCGTCAATAATAAAAACACTGCCAGGCTGCGGAACAGGATATTTCCAGCTGGTATTTATTGGTAAAAACCAAAGTTAGGTTTAAATCTTAACAGTAGAAATAGATCCAGTGGATGACTACGCTTCTTTAATCTGCTGAGACAAATGGAGAAGACGTCACAGCAACAGGTGAGTGTGTCCCTCCATAACACATGCTCTTTGTGTTTTCACTTCAAGGCACATCTGTGATTAACTCGTCATTATTAACCTCCTTTCACATGTGATTTATTGATATATCAGTATCTCGAAAGTATCATGAATGAAGGCGCAACACAGTCAGTGGCAATTTAGATAATTTCATAGTAAAATACGGTTGGTAAACATCTGAGACTTACATTTCCTGTAAACATCACATGACAGGAGGAACAGAGAACTTTGGTGTGAACAACTTCACTTTTACTTCCTGTGGTGGAAATTATGTTACAGCATTGACATGTTGATGTCGGGCAAAGAGTTTTTAAAACCTGACGGTGATCATGTGTCATCAGAGACATGAAATCACAAAATATCAGAAACCTCTACAATCAGATGTTAAAACTTCCTGCACACAGGATCAAAAGAGTCTCTGGGGAGACTCATTCATTGGAAGTTGAAGGTGACATTGCTTTAATTCACAAGTTGGAAGATCAGATGGAATAGTCTAAATGTGTATGATCTGGTTGAAGAGATACACAAGGTATAATACTGTTTACACACTTTCCAAAAGCATACATGCATTTTTATGTATTTAGTGTCATCTGAGGTTTTGTCCAACAGCAATCTCAGGCTATTGTAATTCCATATTTTTTGTACTTAGGCTCAATCATTTAGTGTCTATGGTGTCAAAATAACATATCATGTTCCCATAGAGACCCAGCAGGAACTAAGGCGAAACTAAGCAAGTATACCAAGGGGGGAGGGGGGTGCTTCTTAAAGTGAAAAAAAGTGACCTATGTACTCTAACAATAACACGGTTTGATTACTTTACAATTCAACAGGGGTATTTATGTTTACATAACTTGGTTTATTGCTGGGGCTCACAGCAGGTGCAGGGTGAATACAGACACTTATCAGAAAGCTTTTTAAACATTTGTATAAAAATAAAACTGAAATGTTTTACTGCGCTCAAGAATAGTGTTTACAGGATTCCGTTATATAAAAAAGTCTGTTTGGATGTTTTTGCATTTTACACTGATATGGAATGGGAGGATGTGGCTCAGTGGGATAGTGCGGTGATCAGAGGAGCACTGGTTCAATCCCCGCTGCAGTCAGCATGTCATTGTGTCCCTGCGCAAGACACTTCACCCCACTTTGCTCCTGTGGGGATTTCCCACAGTACTGAATGTATGTAAGTCATAAAAGTGGATAAAAGGATAAAGTGTCCAACAGGTGACATGTACAGTAATGTAATGTAATATTTAACTGAAAGCAGAAATGCTGCTCAAACTCAAAAGCTAATGTGTCAGTGATGATCTGTTAATATATGAAAGGCTATGAAAGAGGCCTGAGTACTTTTAATTTCAATTCCTCATAAGGTTTTGAATGCATGAAAGTATCTAAATGATCTGCATACTTCTTCAACCTATGGTGCAGAGCTGATCTTCTCTTCATCATCATGGCCTACTGTTCCAATAATGCTTTCACTTGATGACATGTCACCATCTACTGTCTGTATTCAACTACAACAGAGTATTTTCTGTTTGTCAGATTTGATTTAAGATGTTTTTAAACTTTACTTTTACTGTAAATCTAGAGACTACTGCCTGAAAATGCTTAATAAAAAACAGGTTTGTCTTAAGAAAAACTAAAATACAACTAAACATTTGTTTCTTTATTTTAGGTTTACATTGTTGTCTTTTCTTACATAATACACTTTATTATGGTTATGTATTTTCTCTTTTATTTATTTGCATTGCATTTAAAATTGAGGTAATCCAAACGTGATGGAAAGTAATCAGGTTACATTACTTTTACATTGTGATACTCAGGTTCAGTTACTCATTACATTTTTTCACAGGTAATTGAAGTGTATTACATACGAAAAATAACCCTCCCAACCTTGTTTAATATTAACTGAAGTGCTGAAGGATGCAGAATCGAACAGGTGAAAAGTTCACATTTTTAGACTCAATTAAAAAAATAATTAGTCAAATGTTTGACTTAGGAAGGCCATAAATAGGTACAGTAACGTGACCTTACTAGCTAAACAAACACACAGAGTCATGTGTGTGTATGTATGTGTGTGTGTGTGTGTGTGTGTGTGTGTGTGTGTGTGTGTGTGTGTGTGTGTGTGTGTGTGTGTGTATGTGTGTGTGTGTGTGTGTGTGTGTACCTGCAGGCGTGGTTGCTACGGCAGCCATCTGCTCTTTGAAGTGAATGATAAGCCAGAGGAAGAACGAGTGTGCACAGGTCTGAAGCACTCTGTAGCACTCCAACGGTCACCAGCCAGAGGCACCAATACCCTCTGCATTCAGGGCCGGAGAAAGAGATTTATAGGCTCCAGATTTCATGTTCAGCCTCTATGTGTGAGGGGTTTATCTGATAATAGTGTCTCATTCATATGGTGATGTCCCTTTAGTTTGGTGGTTGGGTTGCAAGGAGTTTGTTTTGTTTGCCACTGTCTTTTCTCCATTGGGAGGTCCCTAAAAATGAAATGTTGAGCACTGCTTAGGAGATAAAATGCAGGTGACAGTAGATAGTTTGGTTTATTGACATGTTGAGTATAGTTCTATCTCACACAGGCTCCGCCCTCTACTGGACTCTATGGGTACTACTCTCATCAATGATACACGAGCGTTCACACACTGAAGTTGTATAAACGCAGCTGGCCAATCAGGGCGAGCCTACCTGAATGCGCGCGCAGGCTCACAGTATATAAGGTGGCTACGCCTCCTGACTGTCATCCTTTTCTCTTCAGCGAGCGAGACAACACCTGACCAGAAAAGCATTCGAAAAAAACAAGTAAAAAGTATCTTACCTCCAGGCAAGCAAATGGAGTCGCCCCTGCAGGAAACCCGTGCCTGTCCCTCATGCCCGGCTTAATAGCGGGCGCCGATCCCCACCAGCTCTGTTTCGAGTGCCTGGGACCAGACCACGCCAAAGACGAGCTCTAGGTGGTGGACGTGGGAGACCAGGATATGGCCGAGGCGACGCCACCAACGTTCGCCATCCCAGCCGTGCGGGTTATGGCTCCGTTTGCTGAGGCGGGAGAAGATGACTTCGTCCCCCCACCACTTCCGCCGAAGCCGGCCGCCTCCGCCAGGGGTTTTACGGTCCGGCCCACCCGGCGCAACCGGCTTTCATCTCGCCCCCGTTGCCAGATATCTGGCAGTGTGTGGAGGCGTCGTGGCAACAGCCACTGAAAACGAGAGCTCCGGTGGCAGGAATGGTAGATATTCTGAGGGTGCGGGGCCGCAAGGAGACCTCATATCCCAGCGTGCCCCCCCTCGATGAGAGCCTTGGAGCGGATGGCCGCGGCTGCAAATGACACGGGTGTGTTGGGCGTCTCGCTGATTATTCCTCCGCAAGATGCCCCCACCTCGCCGGATCAGAGCGATTATTTGGACCGCAGCATCGGCCAAATGAATAACCTGATCCATGGTGTTGCAGCCGCTGCTGGCCGGGTGATGTCCCTGGCCACAGTGGGATCACGAGAGACCCACGGCTGGCTGGGACTCCCGGCATTCTCCAAAAAGTGACCGTGATGATCTCTCGGGAGCCCCCGTGTCTACGGAGGGGCTCTTTGGATCGATAGCCTCAGTCATGCAGCGTTTCAAAAGCAGCGCTATAGTGAGCACACTCGCCACTCCCGCTGTAAACTGCAGTAGAGGAGCCAGCGGATGGGAGCGCTCACGTGAGTGTAATAAACCGCAGGAAGTGCTGTCAAAGCACTGTGCGGTCAGGGACACTATAGCCGGTGTGTTGCTGTCAGAAAAAACACCTCACCTGGTATAGTGGCTTCGATTAAAATGCACTTCGGCGAAAATGTGAACACAGCGAAGCGCCCGCGGCCCCGCGAGGGTTGGCCGCGCGCGGTGCGTTCAAGAGGCACAAACGACGTCTGGTGACCATCCCCCCCTTCAGTGGAGGGCAACCCCCGATACTGGGGGTCCCCAAAGCATTTGCTGAAGGGGAGGGACCTGCCTAGAGACAGCTATAGGTGGTGGCTGGCCTCTGACAGAAACTCGGCACATCAACCTTCTCGAGCTACAGGCAGTAGTACTGGTCCTAAAGCACTGCAAACCCTTACTACAGGGAAAACATGTGCTGGTGAGAAGCGACAACCGCACCACAGTGGCTTACATCAACAGGCAGGACGGAGTCAGCTCCGCCGCCTTGTTGAGCGCAGCGGAGAACCTGTGGTTGTGGGCCTCAGAGAATGTTTTTATCTCTAAAGGCCCCCCACATTCCGGGACTGGAGAATAAGGGTGCCGACCTCATGTCAAGAGACGAATGGTGGTTCTCCCTGGCTCGGCAGGACAATCCACCCTTGGGGGTGGACACGTTTGCATACGAGCTATGGCCAAGATAGCTGCTCTACGCCTTTCCACCGCAGGTGCAATAGGGGCGTTACCCACTCTGGGCCAACCTCTCCAGGCTTGGTTCCTGAGAGGGACAGGCTGAGAAGGGGTGGACTGTCTGACAATGTTATACAGACTATCCAGGCAGCAAGAGTGTGTTTCTCTCCCTGTATCGCTCACTCGTCTCTTTCGCCCCCTGTCGGCAGCGGTTAAAATAGAATCGCCCCATCAAAATTGAATTCCCCTATTAATGTATTGATTATAGGTCCGGGTCCGTATAGGTCGGCGTCTGGGTCCGGATCCGGACCGCGGTCCGCCTGTTGCCGACCCCTGAACTAGTGTTACAATACGTAACCCACAGTTCCATCATGTACATCTCCATTTTTACACTTCAGTTTGTGTACTGATATGTTGATCCGAAAGCTTCAGAGCTGTTGGTTTGGGTTTTTTGTATTTCTTACAGAGCCAGGCTAGATGTTTTGTGCTAAATAATAACCTGATATATATGGTGGCCAACAGGGGCAAATACGCTACAACAGCCCAAAACACTTCCATTGGGAGGAACGTGTTGCAGTTTAAAAAAGGATGTTGTGCACCGACAGAAATGCTAGAGAGATGCATGTTATTTAC